TGATGGATGGCTCCCACACTGGGTTTCATACATCTCCGTCTTCCTTGGAAGCTGTGACACAAGTAATTGGTGTCACCTCTGTTGATTGCGTGCCAAGTGCTGACAAAACAGTGCATAATAGGGAGCTCCAGTGCTCTGCCCTTGATTGTGTGGGGGAGGGAACTGTGGGGACCTGACCTAATGCAGCCTGAGCTCTCAGGTTAACCAAGGGGCTGGCAGCCAACAGAGCTGGAGGAAGAAGCAAATGTAAAGGTATCCTGGTTCCAACCTGGAGAACGTGCTAGAATCTTTCTAAATTGAGATCCATGGTTTGTTCCTGAGGTGTGCAAATATAATATAATATAAAGTCAATCCCTGATATATAAATAGATGTGCTTCTGGTCAATCCTGTCAATTCACATCCTTGACATCTTGGAAATCCAATGCCTTAGACTTGGAGGGGCTTTCTAGAGATTATCTTCTGGCTGCAAAGGTGCTGTTACTGCCCTTTAAGATGATATATCTAAGGCTGGTGCATTAAGAGGCTTTTCCTAATAAATACAGATGGAGGCACTGCTGAGAGAAATGTTAGTGGAATAGATGAGATGGGGGAAACCCAGATCACCTGCAGCGTGGCAAGGCATATCTTGAATTAAACAAACCAGGCACCATCAGGTCAGTGCCAACTCATGGTCATCCTACTTGTGTCAGAGTGGAGCTACTCTATAAGATTTGTAATGGCTGATTTCTCAGAAATAGTCAGGCCTTTTTGTCTTCTGAAGCATGTTTAAAAAAATACATAAAATTTTTATTTTATACTGGTACAAAGTTCATATACACTGTTTTTCATACCAGATCTTGGTTAGCAATTGAACACTTTAACTATATGCACTGCTTACTACAGTCACCCACTATGGTATTTCTGTTACAATCACAGAATTGTAGATAACAAGGAGGGAGCTCTGGTGGCCTACTGGTAAGGAGCTGGGCTGTCCACCCAAAGACACGCAGTTCAAATCCACCAGCTTCTCTAAGGGAAAAAAGATGGACAATCTCCTCCAATGCAATTTATGGCCTCTGAAAACCCACTGGACTGTCCAACTCAATGGCACCTAATAATAGCAAGAGTAGCAGATAGCAGGGACGCTGTACCTTACCTTGATTTTGTTATGTTATGTTTTATTGTGTTTTTTGCTCGGCTCCATGGTCAACACTCTTGGCACCAGTAGCCAGAAAAGTCTGCGGTTAGGGACCTCTCTAAAGTACTCAAGAGCAACGGTGTCTCTCTGGAGACTAAGGTGCGCCTGATACAGGCCATGGTTTTTGCAATCGCTTGTTATGCATCAGAGAGTTGGACAATGACTAGCTAGGATAGAAGGAGAATTGACGTCTTTGAGCTGTGGTGCTGGAGAAGAGTACTGAGTGTATCATGGACTGCCAAGAAAACAAATAGATTCATCCTAGAGAGGGTTAAACCAGGCTGCTCCTTGGAGGCAAGGATTCCGGGGCTTCGCCTGACATACTTTGGACATGTTGTAAGGAGAGACAGGTCTTCAGAGAGGGACATCATGCTGGGCAGAGTGGAGGGACAGTGCAGGAGGGGAAGACCCACTATGAGGTGGATTGATTCAGTGACTGGGGTAATCGGGATGGGTGTGTCAAAGGCAATGAGATTGGCACAGGATAGAGCAGGGTTTAGGGCTGTTGTACATAGGGTTGCTATGAGTCGCAAACCACTCGACGGCACATAACAACAACAACGTGTTTTATTGAGTCAGAACTAACTCAAGCTAATCTTCCAGTGGATTTTCAGAGGCAGTATATTGCATGGGAGGGAAGAGACTGATCATCTTTCTCGCACAGAGAAACTGGTGGATTTGAACTCTTGACCCTTGTATTTGTAGTTCAATTCTCTAGCCAGTAGACAGAGATTTTACCTTGCATTAAGTCAGGCCAAATTTGACTATGTCTCGTGTACTATGGGCATGTTGCCAGGAGGCACTAGTCCTTGAAGTAAGACATCACGCTTGGAAGGGTGGAGGGACAATGCAGGAGAGGAAGACCATGGATGAGATGGATTGACACAGTAACTGGGGTTATGGATGCAGGTGTGTCAGGGACGGTGAGATTGGCTCAGGATAGAACAGGGTTCAGAGCTATCATACATAAGGTCGCTATGAGTTGCAGGTGACTCAACAGCACACAACCACAAAAAAACAGCAACAACAGAGAGCCCTAGTGGTGTCATCTATAAAGAGTTGGGCTGCTAGCCCAAAGTCCATGCCTATCTGGCAGTTTGAATCCACCCGTGGCTCCTTGGGAGAAAGATGGTCAATCTCCTCCTGTGCAGTTTGTATCTTAGAACCCCGATGGAGGATCAGCTATGAGTTGGTTTAGACTCATTGAGTTATGAGTTTAAGAGTCATTGACCTTGCATGGCACTTTCTCAAAAACTTGCTAATAGAAATTCCATTTGACCCAGCAATTCTGGTAATATATCCTAAAGAAACCATAACTGCCACCCAGACAGATATATTTATGTTTATTGTGGCTTTGTTCACAATAGCAAAGAGCTGGAAACAACGTAAGTGCCCATCAACAAAGGAATAGATAGAGAGGCTGTGTATATTCACACAATGGAATACTATGCTGCATTGAAAAACAAGGAACTCATGCAATATTATTCAAAATGGGTGACCCTGGAGGACATTATGCTGAGTGAAATATCTCAGTCACAAAGGGACAAATATTGCATAGTGCCACTGTTGTATAACAGGACTGACATCAGGGTTGGGGTAAGACTGAGAAAAATTGGATAAATTATGTATACTGCATTGAAACAGATGAGGGAGAGAACAGTTTAAAAGTGATATAAGATAGGATATTATGGTTATGACAAGAGTCCAGCATGAAGGTTGCATAGTGGAGTGTACTCAGGGAAGTGGGGGGAGGGTGGAACGGGGGGATTGTATACCAATGAAGGAATTTTTCTTTTACTTTTCAAAGAAAAGAGCGAACTGGGGGTAGGGGTGGGCAGGGAGAAAAATGATGCAACAATGAATGAATGGAAATCCAAAATCTCTGTAAATGTTCATTAAAATTAATAAAATTAAAATTTTTAAGAACAGAGTCATTGGCCTTTTCTCACTCTGTTTTTTCTAAACAGACTCTTCACCTTTAAAAAATTTTATTATTATTTTTCTGTGTGTACCGTCGAATTGGATCTGACTGGTACAGGAGGAGATTGCCCCTCCTTCTCCATCTGAGCAACTGGTGGATTCAAAACCACATGCTTTCGGGATTGCAGCGCAGCTTCTTACCAACAGGCTACCAGAGCTCCCTCTTTTCTCACTTCTGAGTTTGTGCAAGGTGGGATGGCTTTCTCAGACATCTCTTCGTTAACAATTCTCTTCTTTAGCAAGAGAATAGCAACCTTATCTACTTCACACGGCAGAGACGCCAGCATTTGACCACAAGGAACGCTTTCCATCATGTTACTGACATTACTAACACCTTTGAGCTGTGGTGCTGGAGAAGAGTATTGAACGTACCATGGCCTGTCAGGAAAACAAACAGATTCATCCTGGACAGGGTTAAACTAGGCTACTCCTTGGAGGCAAGGATTCTGGGGCTTCGCCTGACATACTTTGGACGTATTGTAAGGAGGAACTGGTCCTTGGAGAGGGACATCATGCTTGGGAAGGTAGAGGGACAGCACAGAAGGGGAAGACCCTCTATGAGGTGGATTGATTCAGTGACTGGGATAATCGGGATGGGTGTGTTAGCGGCAGTGCAACTGGTATATGATAGAGCAGGGTTTAGGGCTGTTGTACATAGGGTCACTCTGAGTCGCAAGCGACTCGACGGCACATACCAACAACAACAACAATGAAACCTCAACCATTAATTTGAAAATTAATAAAAAGGAAGATCACTGTGCAAAACATTCTCTTTTCTAGATACTCTAAACTCTGCTCCCATATTGAGCCCAAACAGGAGAGACCTGCATGTCTGCACCCCATCACAGGAGCCTCCACAGAAGATCCTTTCTAGACTTGTTCTTATGTGTGCCCTTCGCCTCCACGGAGAAAGGTACTGAGAAACAACCTTGGTTGGATGCTGCAAGTTGAGTTCTACAAGGACCGTGAATTGGAGGAGATATTTTTCTCTTCACCTTTCTCTCACTGCTGTTGAGTTGAAACTCACTCATAGTTAATCCTCCAGTGGGTTTTCAGGGGCTGTAAATCACACAGACGATTGCCCACCTTTTTCCCACAGAGCAGTTGGTAGTTTTGAACCACCTACCTTTGGGTGGTAGTGCAACTTCTTACCCACTAGGCCACCAAAGCCCCCTCTTTGACTTTAATAACAGCAATAAGTTTTGCTTGTCTTCGCAAACGACTATTTGTGGCTTAGTGTGTTTCTCTGCCATGACGACTGTATTGGACTTTACAGTGCCTCATTTCTGGCTTGATCATAACTTCCCTCGCTTGTTTCTTTCCCCTTCAACTTTCTTCCTTATCTTAATTTATTTTATCCTGTTACATTGTTTTGCATCTCTGCAGGTTGCTTTCAATCTTTTTTCCATAGAAAGCAGGCTTTAGAGAGGAATAAATAAACACAGCCTGATCCCCAGTGGCCTGTTATGTGCAAGAGGCAAATGGTCCATCATGGCTCAGTTATTATTCCCTGCAGTCACACCTCCTGTGGTCTTAAAATCGGCTCTGGGAGGATTGGCTTCTACATTACATGCACAATTATTACACATTCACTGTGTGTATGCCAAGCGCCATATGAGAAACGGTAGCAGTAGAGCTCAGTGGTCACTTGTGACCTAAAGCAGAGGCAGCAGCTTCTCTTGGGTACCACTTCAACCCTCAGCCCTTGGGACAACCTGCTCTAACTTTTGTCCAAGTCTCAAGTTGTCTCCCTGCTCCCCTGATTGGCTACTTTACTTGATCAATTAGCAGACCCTCTGGGTATTTTAGGTGGGTTTAAGAGCCTCTCCTGCTCACCTTCAGACAGGTGAAGCAGATGGAGTCTTGGGCTTGAAGGTCAGAGCTGAGACCATTTTTGAGGCAGTCCTGTCCCCGTTCCAGGTATGTGACTCACCCTCTCGCCAAGTGGAGGACATCAGAGACCTTCATCTCTCAGAATCTCTAGGCATTCATTAAATACCTTCTGTGTGCCATGAGTCATAAACAAAATGGTAGTCACACTGATACAGTCTCAGTGGTCACGTCTCTGGCTCCCTCCCAGGGGAGGAGGGGTCAGTTGGAGGCCGGAGCAACACCAGAGGGCCCTGGCCCGAGGAATGGCATCTGCCCTTCCAGTGCTCCTTCCCTGGGGAAGTGGATCCTAAATTCCCAAACACCCCGCCATAGAGTAGTCTCCGGGCTGGCCCCTGGGACTTGCAAATCCTTCCTAGATCTGGCCAGTCTTGGGAGAGTCCCTGCCGCCGGCTCATTGTCCCATTCCTTCGACACTTTTCCTCTGCCGCATTGTTCCAGTTATCAGCATCCTACACGCTGCAGCGGCTGCACAGGAAAGCAATGCTGCTGCCGCCGCCGCCGTGGCCGCCGGGGCCCAGGTGTCCTGCGGAAAGGCGCGCAGGAACAATTGGGTGGGCGGCCGGGAGCGAGGAGTCGGTCGGCGGCCACGGTGGAGGGCAGCGGCGGGCACACGCCCCGAGGGCCCGGCCTCAGGTCTCCTCCTTCCCCGCCTGTGACATGGGCGAACTTCAATCTCTCCCTATCTGTTAGCTTCCATGAAGAGAGAGAGATGCTCAGCAGGACTTAGACTCTATGTCTTGATCACCTCATCACTTAAGCATAAGCTTTTCTGTTTTAACGAAAGAACCAAATAAGACCAAGGAAGTGAAGATCCTTTGCAGAGCATCCTGTGTCAGACAAGGGCGGGAGAAGCTGGATTCTCTGTAAAGAGGGTACGCCTCACTGTGGTTCCTGGGCCCTTTATGGGGTGAGGGGTTTGGATTAGAGCAACTTTAATAAACCAGCTTCTGCTCACTGTACCAAGGTGTCAGAGGTGATGAAAATGGCACAGGATAGGACAGCATTCAGAGCTGTTGTTCATAGGGTCACTGTGAACTGTAGTCATCTCCACCGCACCTAACAACAACAAATCCAACGATTTCAGAAGAGAAGAAAATGAGGACAGGGGAGAAAGCAGCTTACTTTTGGGCTATAGTTGGATGGAATATTCTTGGAGTGTCTCTCTCTTTTTCTTTCATCATTTTTGTTCTTTGTCCAACTTGGAGTTGAATAGGCAGTAATAGAAAAGACTATGGCTTAGATTAGGCACACCTTGGCCTTTAAACTAATTTCACTGCTCTTTGGAACTTTGGAGAGCTCCTTGACAGCAGATTTTCACATGCAATGTATCTTTAGATTTCTTGACTGCTGTTTGAGTACTGATTGTTGATCTAAGTAAAATTAAATTGATAACAACTACAGGTTTTTTCCTCCATCTAACATCTGTTGGTCCAGTGGTGAGAATTTTGTTTTCTTGATGTTGAGATATAATCCATATTGTTCATACATATTTAGCAAATAAAAATATCCCTTAGTTAATTTTTAGGGGTATCTGTGATGTAGTTCATAGCAAGTTATGATGCGAACCTAAGGTGGGGCCAGCAGGGCCAGGGGAGAAAGATCTTCTGGTGTAATTCATAACCTCTGAAACCTTCACTGGAGGCTCAACCATGAGTCAGTTCTGACACCATCGTAATGAGAGAAGAAGTAAACATTAAAATGTAAATATGCCCCATGCACAATTTGAGATATCAGTGCAAGTTACCATCAAGTCTATTCTGACTCATGGTGCCTGTGTGTGTCTGTGTACAGTTGTGTTCCATAGCGTTCTCAATGCCTAATTAAGAAAAAAAAGATCACTAGACCTTTCTCCCAAGGTGTACTCACGACCCCAACCTTTGGGTTAGCAGTTGAGCACATTAACCAATTCTGTCACCCAGGAACTCCGCCTGGAACATACTACAGAATTTTTTCTTTCTTATCGGCAATTCAAAGTATTTCTTGTAGCAGCACAAGGTCCTTTTGTGGTCTGTGATACTGAACTGGGGGAGGGAAGATGTTTTTAGGATGTTCAGATAGAACTAATGAGGCCCCTTTCTGGATTCTCAGGAATATAATTTCCAGGCTTCTTTGTAGTGAGTCAGGGGCCTGGGAGTGGCTCTCCAGGGTTCGGAGAATGCTCCAGGTCTGAGATAGCCAGAGCAGCTCAGAATACAAGCGCAAGCCTGGGGCCCTTTGCTTCCTCCTCAGGTGGGGACACCTGCTCTGGGGGTGAGGTCCACAGGGGGGAGTCTGCAAAGCCCGCCAGGTAAATTGGCTACACCTGGAAAGAAACCTGTTTTTGGAGGTTGCTGTGTTTCTACGGGTGGGCACGCCTCGCCCTCTGCTGGAAACTGTGAGTATGACTGGGTTTCTCTTCCCACGCTTTCCCCTGGAAGAATCAATAACTAGGCAGCATTCAGAGCCCTATTTCCACCTTCTTTCCCTGCCTAGGGAGTATCTGAAAGTTAGCTTTTCTGTGAAGTATAATTCACTTTAGTTAGTCCTCGCTACTGAAAGAAATCTCCCTCGGATTTTTTTAATCTAGCGAAGCAGAAGTTCAAACGAAACCAAATAAAAGTTCACTACTAAAAGTAGAGGGTCAGTGCACAAGAGCAAGACTCTTAATGAGACGCACTGCCACAGTGGATTCAACAATGGGCTCAAACATGACAGTTCTATGAGGAGGGTGCAGGAGCCGGCACTGTTTTATAAAGGGTAGGAATCAACTGAATACACCTAACAAGACAAAAAAAAATTAATAAAGCACACAATAGTCTGTGAGGTAATGCTACCCATTGTCATTAATAACAAAGGAGTACCAGGACAGGATGCCCAAGCTGAGGGACTTCCTAGCTCCTCTTGGCTCTGCCCAGCAGGACAAGATGTCATTATTCTGTTTGCTGTACTGGGGTCTCAACTGTAAAGTCACTGGCTTGTGTAGTTCACTATTTTCTGGCCTTTCTTTTGACCTGGATGACTAAGTATGTCCTGTGACCTCCTGCTTTAGCCCAAGACACCTCCAAGTGACCAATAATCTCAGGACAAACTTCTCTATACTCAATGGGTCAATAGCATGATTCCCATAAATTGTAGTAAATGGAGTATAATTAGAGAGGTCTATTAACTCCTGTCCATGATAGTTTTATTCTGTGTACTGAATACAGGAGAAAAATGATGCTTTTTCACCATCAAGATATCACCTTAGTAGTGAAATGGTATCATGCTAAGTATGAACACAGAAATTCTACAAACAGGGCAGATCAAGGGTTTATGGGGGATTAAAATAACACGGAAGTCTCTAGAAGGAAAATAGCACCAAGATTGTGAATGTGAATTAGGCACAAGAATAAATATTTCTTAATAATTAGAAGATAAAGTATGACAAATAACATATTGTTTGAAAGTTGAAATATTTCATGAGTATATAAGGAGACACACTGTACTGGGAAAATCTGCTGTTAGGGACCTCTCCAAATTATTGAGGAGTAATGATGTCAGTTCGAGGACTAAGGTGTATCTTATCTAGGCTGTAGTCTTGCTAATTACTTGCTATGCATCTGAGAGTTGAACAATGAATCAGGATGACAGAAAAAGAATTGACACCTTTGACCTGTGGTGGTTGGAGAAGAGCACTTAACATCCCATGGATGGCCAAGAGAACGAATAGATATGTCTTGGAAAGGGGGCATCCAGAGTGGTCTTTGGAGACAAGAATGATGAGGCTTCGCCTCACGTTCTTTGGACATGTTTCTAAGAGGTGCTGTTCCTTGGAGAAGAACATGATGCTGGGAAGAATGGAGGGTCGGTGAAGGAGAGGAAGACCCTCAACCAAGTGGGTTGACATGGTGACTGCTGGAATGGGCTCTGGTCTGTTAGGAAGTGTGAGAATGGCACAGGATAGACCAGAGTTCAGATCTTTTGTTCATAGGGTCACTATGAGTCATGCTCAATTCAAGAGTACCAACAACAACAACATAGTGGAGCCAGAAAAAGAACTCATTCAAATTTATGCTTCTGTGTGTTTTAAATCTTGTTTCTTCTCTATTTTGCAGCTGGGAATCTAAGGCCTGTTCCCTCTGTTGGAAAGACTTCAGGCTCCCAGCCCAGTCTCACCATGAGTCCATATGGCGGGTTCCTGGGCATGCCTGGAAACCATTTCTACACCAGGACAGTTAGCAATACTGAACTCTACACTGAAGTGACTGAAGTACATACAAAGCTTGTTCCTTTAGACACCCACTTCTCCCAGCCAATCCCTATTGCTATCCAATGCCGCTGGGCAACAGGGCAAATATATAGAAAAACCAAACCAAACCCAGACCCAGTTGTCCTTGAGTCAATTGTGACTCATGACGGCGCATGCGTGCAAGGTCAGCTGTGCTCCAGAGGTCTCCTGGCTTCCTGTCTTGCGCCCTTTTACACCACTCGTGCCTCTGGGCGGGGTCTAACCACTAACTTTTGGTTATTAGTCATGTGTTTAACCATTGGCACCACACAGGAACACACTAGGGCAAGTATAACTCATTGTGGTCAAGTTGATCCCAACTCATAGAAACTCTGTAAAACTGCCCCCCAGGGTTTCCACATGATAATGTTTATTAAGGAAGGAGACGGCCACATCTTCCTCATGCAGGGTGGCTGATGGGTTCCAACTTCCAGCCTTTAGATTAGTAACCGAGTGCTTAACCACTGTTCCACCAAGCCTCCTCCATGGCAAGTATGTTGTTCTGTATCACTGAGTCAGATCTGACTCACTGCTGATCCTTCTGTGGGTTTTCAGAGGCTGTAAATCATATGAGAGGAGATTGTCCGTCTTTTTCCCAAGGAGCAGTTGGTGGATTCGAACCATTTGCCTTTGGGTTGACAGTATAACTTCTTTTTTTTTTTTTTTTCAAATTTGGTTTGTTTATTTTTCATTTCAATGAACATCTACAGAGATTTTGGAATTCCATTCATTCATTGTT